CTACTACCTACTACTACCTATTACTACCTGCTACTACGTACTACTACCTACTACTACCTACTACTGCACCTACTACTACTACTACTACTTCTTCTTACTACTTGCTACTTACTACTTACTACTTACTAATTACAAGTTACAAGTTACAAGTTACAAGTTACTAGTTACTGGTTACTAGTTACTGGTTACTAGTTACTGGTTACTAGTTACTAGTTACCACTACTACTACTACTACTACTACTACTACTACAGCATCCAAGTCTGAAGCGAGGAATTCTGACCGGAAGCCTTCCGGGCAGGTCCTTCGTAGACAGCTTGCTCAGCTCCTCTCGCCAGAAGAAGATCGAGTAAAGGTACACCGCACTTGGCCTTCGGAGGTTTTCAATCTGAGGACTCTTGGCTTCCGTTTTTGGCCTCTTGGGCAAATTCTGGACGCCGTCGTCTTTGAATTATTTTGTAGGATGAAGGAAGATGTTTGTTTAAAGAGAGCTCAGTTTGTTACAAGTGGAAGCTCGGGAACTTCGCTCGACTACCTCTTGCTAGGTTTCACATACCCTGAGCATCAACAAATCCTCCCACCATCTCCCACGCAGGCCAGAGCCAGACGCCAACAAAAGCAGTTAGATTTTGCACAAAGTACACTTAATCCAAGCAGCCTTCCAGTATCAGCCAGTCCCCCCCAAAAGTATTCTGTCTACAGTCGTTCAAGGTTGAAACTCCACCCGATGCTCTTAGGCATGGGAACCCCCCGGGGCCCAGGCACGCCGCGAGCCACCTTGAACCACAACCGCAAGCTGATCCAGAAGGCCTCCACTTGCCTGTGCAGCTTTAGGCTTCATAACCCCTGGAGATGCCGTTGCAAGACCTCACCTGTTTGGTGCAGCATTAGCCCTAGGTCTCAACTTCCGCCGAGTTTAGTAAGGTAAGGTTTGAATATTCGGGATGACAACGCAGGGTTCTGCATCCTAGTCCAAGGTTATTGGTTTGCTACGGCAGCTCTAGACCCAGCAGATGATTGCAAGGCTCAGAAAACTTGTGGTTGCACCAATACTCACATCGTCACGCCGTGTTTCCCAACAGCTCCACGTGCATGCAAGATGGAATGTGAGGCCACACACCTGACGTCTTTGAACCACTGCGGCATTGTGTCCGCGCACACCTTAGGGGCAGGTTTGAGGCTTCGAGGCTTCTGCTTGCCAGTGTGCGCTTCCCTTCCGTGGAGTGACGAGCGGTTGAAACCGTGCCAACGTAGTGTGCTCATGCTGAGAAGTGCTGGCTTCTGCAAAGAAGAAGTGCTAACACCTGTCAGAACGGCGTCTTCCGAAGAAGCTGCTATTCGCGAGATTCCGCTGAGGCCACGCGCAGCGAACTCTCGATGGTTCATATACAGCACGGGCATTTCAAACACCTGGGGCTCCAAACTCTACCCGAGAGTATAATGGGGAAAAAACTCGGATGCATAAGCCTGAATCATAATTTCACATACTTCGAACACGCAGCAGTACCCGTTTTGGCAGACGCCTTGAATTAGAAAATAGGCAAGACTTGCTCTACCGTGGTGGATCTATTGCGAGGTTGCCAAAACCCAACAGCTATGCCAAAAGCACCAATGCCTGCACGACACCCAGCAGTGGGCAATCTCTTAGCCAGCCGGCCTGAGTCTACAAACTGTATCAGATCTTGGACCTCCGACACAAAGCAAATCCGACATCTTTCATATCCGAAGTTGCAAACCTCAACCATCCTCAACCACGCCCGACTTCCCAAACTCCTATCAGCCTATCGTGACATGAAACGTCCCTTCAAGGACGTTGTAGAACCCTAGCTGGGAAGTATTCGACGTGAAGTCCTAAAGCACTTCCCTCCAGCTCAGGCGTGCGGCAAGGCCGAAAGCGGCCAGCCCGGTGCAGACCTCCCCAAGCTCGGTTTAGGACTAATTTAGGGTTTTGAATTTAGGGTAGAGTTTGCTTCTGCGAACTTCAGGTATGACTTTTTTCTTGTCCCCTGCCGGGGTTCAAGGTTTGCTTCACAGACCCTGCAGTAAATCCTCAGCACAGAACTCTCTGTGTGCGTTTGGCACTTCATCGGGTCCTGGCTTTGCTGCAAAGTGCTTGAAAGTAGGCTGCCAATAACGGCTTCTCCTTTCGGGCCCGCACTTTCATTCTCATGGCGGCGATGAAAGCAACGGCTGCCACGGTGTGGTGCCTCAACTCACAATGCAGCTTGACGACTTGGAGGCTAGCCGCCCTGAAGCTGCACATGGAGGCTCTGCCTAGATCAGAGTCCGGAAGCTGGGCTCAGGTGCTGGGTAGTCCTGATATAAATGCTCCCGCAACCCACCACCTTGCAGATGCGTGGCGCTGCAGGCTTCAAACATAATCTTTTCATCGCCGGGGCTGTCTAGATATCTTTACCAAACTCAGGCCACTGACTGGAAGAGCCTCGGATTCGTGCGTACTGAATTTGGCAGTCTTCAAGTACCACCATCGTGGGGGCTTCGGGGTTTGTGGCTTTTGGATTGTGTCCACAGCTCAGTTCAGGGAGATATTTATTAAGCCTCATCGCCAGAAGCCTGAGATGACATGAAGGTAATTGAGCAAGATTGGGGCAGCTCCGCAAAACCTGCGAAATCTTGGACCTGCATGGTATAGAGCTAAGGCAAGCGCAGCAGGTAGGCTTGCCAGAGGAAAGAGCTTGGGTCGGACCCTTCCCGAAGGTCCAAGAAACCTGCCGCTTCCGTCTTGGATCTTGGTGCTTTGGAAGCAGGGAGCATGGCATGGTGCATGGCATGGTGCATCCGTGTGTTCGTCTGAGTATTCCACACACAGTCTATGGTCAAAGCTCAGGCTCACAGGCATGCACAAAGAGCATGAGTAGCGGCTTCAAGTTGTCACTCCTGTTCTCCTACTAGCACGACGCGCAGTAACGGCTACAAAAAACCGAGGCTCCTGCTCACTGTGTCTTGTACGGTTAACCCTCCGCGCAGGAAGGTCCTGCAGCAGAAAACTTCGCTGGGGGGTCGGCTTGCGCTTGGGTTGACAGTTTCTGTGTCACGGCCCCGACGTGAGGGAACGAATGCACCGAATCTAGCGGCAAAACGGGTCTTGAAAGGCCTTTGCTCCGCACATTGACATGGAGCAAAGGAGCCTGGCTAGGCTAGGTTTAGGTCTCGGGTTCAGGGCCAAATTGACATGACGCCTCATTCGAGAGCAGTCCTTGCTAGTTACCACCTGTCTGATCCTGAACAAGAAACCCAACTAACAGGGAAAAAGACTCGAAAGCCTCTTGACGTTGACTTAGAACCACCATCGTCTGGAAACAGTCAGGCTTAGACCTCCGTTCAACCGTTCTCCAACTCCCAGTCCAGTTTTTGCGATCTTCCCAGATCGCGATGATCCAGTGGCCGGCGGCCTGAGACTACTACTCGAGGCAGAGGCAGTCAATATAGGGGCCTGAACAATGTTAAGGTGTCCCCTTGTCGTAATTGTACAGTTATACTAAGTTATATAGTTGCATACTATAATCTTCCCCAACTCTATTTCAATTGTTACTCGTAAGCCTCCTATGCTCCGGGCCCAGAGGATGCTTTCGAGTGTACTTCCTGTCCAAGCAAAGCCCTGTCTAGGTGCAATCTCTATAATATTCCGGAGTGTTGGTATACAGGGTGTGAGAACTTCTTCGCATTTCTCTTGGACACTTTTTCATAACTCCATAAGTTCGCCGCATTTCGCCGCTGATAGCTGCCGAACTAGAGGGGACAGATCGAGCAATATATCGGAAGCCATGAATCCCTGTTGGCCGAAGGTTTGGCGTTGCAATGAAAGACCTTTGGGTTTGGGATCTCAAGCATGGAGGACAATCCGAGAATCTTCTGCTCAGGTCCGAACCTGCGGGTGCAATGTAAGAGCTTCAGGGATTCAGGGTCCTACATTATCACATGCTTAGACTTAGACTGACTGACACTTGATGTTCTAGGTCGTCTGGCCGTGAACGCTAAAGCCCAAGCAAAGGAATAGCACCGAAGCTTCGAGGCCATGACCATGCTGAAGAAGATCTGATGCTCCGCGGAATAAGCGTAGAGAAGATCCTCAGCCGACCTGGGCTGGTTTCGGATTGCGGGGCTGAAGGAATGCCCCTGGCCCTCGTTTAACATGTGTGCAGCTCAGGGGCCACCGGCAGCCCATCAACAGTCCTCGAAAGTCAGGGGCCAAGGCTTTTAGATGATTGGTAAACCGTTGTGGGCTTTCGTGCCTGACGCATCGCGCGTGGGAGGTTGGTGGACGGAGATAGGCATCGCTTGCTGGCGGGATTTCGGCCGCAACGGGGTGTGTCATTGACCGTGAGGCCTGGATGCAGCCTTGCAATGCCTGAGACATCCTGTAGAGGCTATGCCGGATTTTCCGAAAAACCTCTAGCTGAAGCCGGGCCGCGGATGCCCGCAACCACTGCCACAGCACAGTAGACCTTAGCAGGTCCCAAAAATGGCAAAGCCCAAAGCGACTCTCTGAAACTATCCTTTGGGCTTTAGACTCGGGGCCTCTAGAGCTCCCTAAAGCAAGGCTAGAAGGCTTCTTTTTGAAAGGGGCGTCAAGAATTCGTAGCAGAACCCCTTTATAGTCCCTATATACTTCTACTTAATAGCTCCCATCAATAATCCTGTGATGCTCGTGGGCCTAGGGGAGAAGCCAGAAAGGACGGGACTCCGACCTGCGAGCGGCAAAGTCGCCGGCGATACCTCTTCAAGCATAGCTTTGGTACGTTTAGTCCTCTTGATAGGAGTTTGGGGGTATCGTGTTCCGACATTCGGGCTGAATCTTTGGGTAGCATTGAGGGTTTGTTGCTGCGAGGCTTCAGGTTCACGCACGGAGTGAGGGGAGTGGCATCTGTCGAACATCGCCCTGAACTTGGGCACGAAGAGATCGCAAACCCCTGAACTGCGAAGCTCACTCGAAGCCGCCGAAGACACATACGCTCGAAAGGTGCTAAAAGGGGTATGCGGGCCATAATTATACGGGATGCTGTGAAACCTCCGAAGCCTGCACATTGCCCCTCTGCACCTCTCTACCGGAGTCGGGTTCAGGATCAGCGCCAGCACCTGGAAGCTTTGAGCCCGAGGCGCGTTGCAGGAGTCTAAGCTCCAGAATCGGTTTCTCAAGCAGCGTGCATCAGGCTTTAGTGTCTCGGGTAGGTCTCAGCCCTGAATTTTTGTACTCAAGCTTCAACTCCCGAAAGACCTTCTAATTAATGCTCTGGAACGCAAGCAACCAACACGCAAAGGAAGGCAATGTACATACTAATTTCAGAAATCGAGGGCCCCCCGAATAAACCGTAAATTGCGGGGTTCTTCATTTAAGAGTCCCCTCAGCTTCCAGACCCCTAAGTACGATACACCTACCAATACGAGAAGTGCCAGAATCTCCGACAGGTGCAGCTGATTGCTTCAGGGCCACCCGCCGTCTCTTCCACACAGGCCAAGCCAGATGGTGCCTTGGCCAGGGCTTGAATCGCAGGTTCGGAAGCTTGCCCGAATCTGGGTTTGATGATGACTTTGGATGATGATCACCACCGCCGCTCTGACATAGCCACAAGAACAACGAGCCGCGGCTACAACAGCAGCAACAACAACAAAGACGTCGACACCGACGAGATATCCACCACCGCGACGACGACGATGTCGGCCGACGTCGCAGAAGTACCTAGAACTGCTACTGCTGCTAGTGCTGCTTCTCTTCCTGCTCCTCCTCCTGCTGCTGCTACAG